AGTGCCGGGAGGACCTGCTCAAGTGAGTCCGGGCCTGAAGGTCCAGTCCGGTTGCTGAAGAGTCAATGAGTCGATGCAATCAGCTGGTTTTCCTTAGATAGAAAACTTTGAATCAATCTGACTGGATGATCTGGTTGATCTGGATCTATAAAGTGACCTGAGATGACATGATGTGAATTGGAGCTATAGAAATAAACTGAATAGAATGTAATCAAATCTCCAGGTTGGAAGGACTGTTTCCGGAAATTTCCTGTGGATCCGGGTCACAGAGGTCCGGTTGGTTCTGGATGGTAAAGGTCGCTGTAAACACGATGATCCAGTGAGCTGAACAGGTTCTGATGAGGATCCTGAAAACATCCTGAAATGGATGCTGCACTGCAAAAACTATCTAGAAATAAGTGAACATTTCTTCCATTAAGTGTATTTAGCCTTAAATTAAGCAGGTAAATAAGATTATTTGCCAAAGGAATTAGTTGTTTTACTCTTAAAATATGATCATTAAATAATGCACACCTGAAATAAGACAATGCAGTCGTTTTTTTTCTTATTTCACTTTAAACTATTTAGTTCCTTTTGTTCTTAATTAAAGAAAAATGCACTTATTTAGATTTCATTTTTTTACAGTGTGCAGGATGGGAATCTGTTTTCCTCTCTGGAGGATTGAGTGACGTTCCGCCTCAGTCCCAGCTTCTCCTTCCTGTCCATCGGGACAGAGCGCAGAGACAACTTTACCTCTGAGCTTCTCCAAGGTTCAGAGCGGCTGTTGCTGATTGGCTGCAGCAGGAAGAAACGCTGAACAGGCAGACTGAGGAGATGCAAACATGCAAACCGACAGGAGAGAAGCGTGACCGTCGCTCTGCAGGATCAGAACATCCAGAGCCAGTGATGCGCTCCAACAGCAGCTGGACGCAGCGGTTAATCCACTGAGCAATCTGCAAACTGAGGCTTGGGATTATGCAAGGAAAGTTCCAGAAGCTGCAGATTAGGATTTTTTATTCTGGGCTGTGTCTATAATCCCTCTCATCAACAGCTGTTCCCCTCTGAGGCCTCAAATGTCCCTCAGCTGCAGAAAAGACCATCGTCTGCAGCTCCAGGAGACATGAGGACTCAGCGTGTCTCTGTTGCTGCACACATGAAGACATGCTGGGGACGAGCTGTCCCGGGGAAATGCCAAGGACTTCTGACATTTCCCCCGCTCACCTTTCTTCTGTCGCCATGACGCCGTCCCAACGTCCCAGGCTGAAAAATGTCTGTCTGCTTCTCATCTCATTCAAAGACGGATTGTCCCAGTGAGACAGAAACAGGAAGTGCCCAAGTCCTCGTATGCAGACAGAGGACAGTTTCCAGAAAACTCTGATGTTCTCCAAACTTGGAAAAGATGCAATGATTCAGACCAAACCTTCAGTTTAGCTCCGTTTAAATCATCTTCCGCCCACTGGCACCTCAGACAGTAACATCCAGCTCGCTGAGGGACATGGACCTTCTGTCCATCAAACAGATCACATGATGCCTCCTCAGAAAGCTGCTGCCACTCAGCAGGAGAACAATGTCAACTCTTTGGTTCCCTCATAGACAGAAGCTCCAACTGTCCCCATCCTCCTGCAGGTGTCGTCATGCTGGAGCAGACTGGACGGCAGCAGGACTGATCTGATTCTATGTGGTCATCTGCAGATACGGCGTGATGTTTCTCCAGGAAAAAGAAACTTTCTTCTTTCTGTTTGGGGAACCGAGATGCCTGAGTTCTGGTCCTGAATGTTGGAGCAGGAGGTGCAGGAATCAGCTTCTTCTGCAGGAACCAGGTGATCCTGGATCAGAACTGGGTTTAATCTCCCAGATGTCCTCTCCAGACAGAATCCTGAGCATCCGTAAAGTCACCTGAAGTCCTTCAAGCCGCATGCAGAGAAAACGTCCACATAAAAATCTAAACTTTCTCATAGTAGCTTCATCTGGTCTGTTCCTGTTTGGCTGTGACTCCATCCTGGAGAGAAATATCAGCTGTGCTGCTGCCATCAACACCTTTGTTTCTAGATGTTGGAGCTTGGCCTGT